ACTGTTAACCACAAGGTTGGCAGTTCAAACCCTATCAGTCCCTCTTTAGAAACCCTATACAGGGTCACTATGAGTCAGAACTGACTCAGTGGTACTTAACAGTACCAACAGCAGCCAATAAGCATAATTCTTTCTACCTCCACTTTGGTTTTCCTTTTTTTGTTAAATCTCTTCTTTTTTCTAAAAGGATCATTCTAGCTACAAACCTGTCCCCTTTCTATAGCATATCACTCCCCTCCACTCTTCACCAACACAGTTTTCTGATAGGCCACTGTCTAATGAGCTCTGAATGCAGATCCAATTCCGTTCTTAACACTCTGGACACACCCCCATCCTCACAGCATGAGCTCCAGGACCGACATCCTGGGGGCAACCTGCGAGCCTCCTACAACAAGGGCCCCTGCCATTGCCCACTTTGAGGACGGAGCACACTGAAGGGTCTGAGGGAAACAGAAGTGGGTCTGAGCATGTCTCTCTTCTTGCAGATTTTGTTTGAGGTGCTGGATGTCTCCTCTGTCCTCCTGGCTGACCAGCTGGAGATGTCACTGTACGCCTCCGGCCTGTTGACCGGTGTGGTAATCGATTCCGGCTATGGCCTGACCTCCATGAAGTCTTTCCACCTGGGTAGCCCTCTGCCCTCAAGCTGTAAGACCCTGGAGTTTGGGGGCCAGGATCTCACTGCCTACCTCTTCAAGAATCTCTTTAAGGAAGACTGTGACCGTCACAACGTGTTCCAGCTCGAGACAGTGGCCACGGTTCAGATGAGCAAGTGCTACGTGCCGCAGAATTTTGTGGAGGCGCTGGAATTTTACCAGACCCTGCCCACTGGCTCCGATGCCAACAACGTCTATCATCTGCCCGACGGCACCCCGGTGGAGCTGACCCCCATGCAGCGATTGGCTCCTGAGATGTTCTTCCGTCCCCAGGTGTTCGATCTACCAGGACCCAGCATCTCCCAGGCCTTTGTGGAGTCCCTGGCGTCCTGCGACGCCGCAATGCACCCGGTACTGATGTCCCATGTGATGGCTTGTGGGGGGAACACCTTGTACCCAGGCTTCACCAAGCGCTTGTACAGGGAGTTGTCTGATGATCACTTCACCACCACCAAGTCCACAATGTGGATGGGTCCCAATAGAAACTTTAGTGTCTGGTTAGGAGCATCAATGGTGGCTCATCTTTCTACTTACAAGTCTAAATGGATGACCAGGGAGGAATATGACGAGAGTATGAGAATGTGACCTGTTTGTGTGAATGGGCTTAGATGGCCAAAGGAAGATGGGTCTTAGCAAAAAAAAAAGTCTGGCCGTAGTGGAGAATGTGGGGTTATTAGCTGGATTTGGAATTCTGAAGTCATGAAGTTTTATCTAGAGTTTTATCTTGTTTCCAGAGGGGCATCCAACCTATAGGAGCAGGGTGTCATCCCTGGGATCCCTGCCGGGGACACTTTTATAGTTGTGATCTGTCATTGGGGTGGGAGTGGCCATCTGCCAGCTCCATACCCAATGTTGTTGTTATGTGTACCGTATGGTGGGTTTCAAATCATAGTGACCCCGTGTACAGCATACAGAGGCACTGCCTAGACTTGCCCCATCTTTGCAGTCATTGCCATGTGTGAGCCTGTTGCCGCAGCCACTATCTTATTCTGTCTCAATGAGGGTTTTTCTCTTTTTGTAACTGACCCTCTAACATTTTACTCAATAGCTGCTTATTTTTTCATCTACATCTCCTTTGGGTTGTCCTATTCTTCTTGATTGAGTAGATTTTAACTGGGACCTTTAGCTAGAGGCTCTCAATTATTTTTGACTAGGGGAAGGGGAGGGGTGGGTTAGGGAGAGTTGAGGTTTCTCGTCCTGTAGATCTTTTCTAGCCAGGGAAGAATTTTGACCCAGGTGAGTCTGGAGTGCTTTTCCCACCCATGGCCAGGGTCTTGTTTTATCTGTGCAAATAAACAACTTGTTTGAAACCAGTCTAGGCTCCTGTGATGGATGGGAAGAGGTGGGGGGTGGGGGGGGCAGCACCTGGGAAACCCACCATGATGCCATTATCATGGATCCAGGAAGTGTGAGTAGGAACAAGAGCAGGGAGGAAGCCAGGGCCAGTGTGAAGAGTTCAACGCTGTGAATAGTAGTTACACTGAACAGAATGATGAAGGGCCAGGAGCCTCCTGGGCAGCCACTGCCCTCTTCTCTCCACCCATTCTAACCACATTGCCTTTGTATCACCTCTGACTCATGGTGCTTTCAGTAGAACTGTGCTCCATGGAGTTTTCAGTGTTCATTTTTTAGGATCAGATCATCAAGCCTTTCTTCCAAGGTATTTCTGGGTGAATCTGAACCTTCAACTTTTCAGTCAGCAGCTGCACCATCCAAGGAATGCCCATGTATTCTGGATACACTAGTATTCTGATCAAGTTTGAGTTCCTGTTCATTTTATATGTACTCAATGAGTATTTGAAAACACAGGATATGCCAGGCACAATGCTAGGCTTGGAACTCTGAGGTAAAGAAGATATATAGAGCTTCCATTTTTCAAGAGGTTACTGTGGGGACATAGACAATGAATGCACATATTTCATATGATGAATGAAATGGATCAGATGTATCAAGATAGAGTGATCTGGGGGTGGAAGGGACAGCTATTTTAGATGGAGGAGAATGAGGTGGAGACCACCTGGAATCTCCAGTTACTGTGTGTTCCTTACATCCTTGGTGCACTGGGAGCCCACACTTCCTAGTCCTCCAGCTCTTAGGTAGGTAGGACCCTGTGACTGAGTTCTGGTCAATTCATCTGACCTCTAAAATATCTTGAATCAGCCTTCAGGATGCAGAAGATACACCAGAAGTCTGGAAAGCTTCCATCTGGCACAACTGCTAGATGGAGCAAGCATGAATAACTAGGTGGGACAGGGCCCCATCTCCAGCCCCACCCAACCCACCAACTTACCACTGGACTGAAACAAAAGCAAGAGTCTATTATATGTTCAGCCATTGAGATCTGGGGATTGTTATAACAGCTGTTTTGCTTACTCTGACTAATACAGAGAGAGGAGCCATAACTAATTTTGTTGCAAGGGATAGAATGAAGGTTTGAACAGAGTCTGGACTCTCTGTTAACGATGGCGTGGCTGCTCCCAATCAGCTTGTGAAAGAAGCTCATGGTTCTATAATATCAAGACCTGAAATAGAGGGAAATGCAGTGAGCTGAGGACAGAAGCCCAAGGAACTCCAGTATTTCAGGCACAAGTGGGGGAATTTAGAACCCAGAGTCTAACCACATGAATCAATTTCTCTCAGTTACAACTTTTACCCCAAACGTGGGCCGTCATTTGTCCCTGGAATAAATGTGACCTAGGATGGTGATTGCTTAGTGGAGCAGCTCAGAATTAACCTTGTGCAGGCCCCAGGGACTTGGAGCCAGACTTGAGTTAGTCTGAGCTACCATGGGCGTGCTGCTTAACCTCTCACACAGAAAACTCGAGTACTACTTCTTCCACTCAGAGATTGGAGATTGAAGGATGAACTAAGATAAGGGCTGAGAAGTCACATTGAAAACTAGAAACTATTGAACTAGAAGGTGTGACTTAAAAATTTTTAAATTTGATGTCACACCCATACTAATCGGGAATATTAATAAGAACAGCCACCGCCACCATCTATAGTAAATGCTTTACAAATAGTCACATGTAGCATTTAATCCTCATATACCCACTGGAAAAAAAATGAGTGACATTCACCCCAATTTACAAATAGGGAAACTGAAGTTCAAATTCATATTCCAGCTCAAGTTACCAATGGGCTGTCATGGTTAAGAATGGGTTTTGCACTCTTAGTAGGCTCATTGCCTCATGGTTACAAAATAGCTACAACACTTCCAGCCATCACATCCACATTCCCTGTAAGCAAAGGAAGAGTGTGCCACCTAGATCTGTGGCTTTATATTAGGAAATCCTCACTCAACTACTGCTTATGATTCAAGACTGGAAAGAAGGTAGCTGAAAGAAGAGACATGTGGGCATTGGGGGAACTGACCCATAGTGTCTGCCCCTTCTCAGCAGAGGGATTGAACCCAGGTCTCTCCGTATTAAAACCTATGGTGAATAACAGCCTTCCCAGCTTGCTGTGCCCTGTTGAATACCTGGGCTTTAGATACGAAGTGTGATGTTTTTTTCGGAGTCCAGACGGGAAGAGCTGCCTTTGGGTGGCGATCAAAGTGCTGATATATTGAGCAGTGATCTTTGGGCTTGAGACTGCAGAAGGGGGGAAACTCAAACAGGAGGGAGCTGGAGGGAAGATGGGCAAGGGGTATTTTCTTTCCTTATTTAGCTCTGGGCAACTGTCATTAGAACTCTTTTTCTCATTTTATTCTGAATGTAACATTTAACCTTTCTGTTCAAGTATCAAATCTGGCTGCCTGATGTATAATTACAAACGATTCTTCGCCTTTTCTCCCCCCTCCCCCACTCTGAAAGCATTTAAAACTCCCTCGCTGGGTACCATCTCTCTCCTCCAACTCTCCAATTAAATTAAAAATAGCATCTCCATGGGGCTGCACAGGGCCATCAACCTAATGTGGAACTGCTGGCAAACCAGGCCTGGCAGGGCAGAAAGTGGTGCCCAGAAGATGCCTGCCGGCTTTAGCGTGGCCTGGCAGCTGCTCTGAGCTGGGGTGGCTTATTCTCCACCAGGGGTCTGGGGTTGCCTGCCAGGGGCAGCCAGGTGCAGAGGGGTGGGAGGCAGGGTCTTGGCAGTTGAGGGGGTGGGGACTGGGTGGGACTGGCAGAGAGGACAAAGGGAAGGCCCCCCAGGAGGGCCATTCCCAGTTGAGAGGGTACAGTTCTGCCAGTTTCTCTTTCTGCTGCCAAGGCTGGGCTTGGCACTCTTCTACTTGGGTTTAGGGTGGGCCTTGGATGCCCATGTTCCCTGAGATAACCCTAGAGAAAACTTTTAAGATTTGATGATACAGAGAACAAAGTCAGTGTAAACACTGAGCAGATTCTAGAAAGAACTTTTATTGTGTCTCCTATTTCTCAGTCTCCTTTCGTAGAGAGACATATGCTGACACAGACAAGGCCACGGGCTCTGAAGCCAGACTGCCTGGATTGGGATCCCTGCCCTGCTGCTTTCTGTCTCTGTTGATTTGGGGGAAGTTACTTAATCTCTCTGTGCCTTAGTTTTCCCATCTGTAAAAAGGGAATAATGATGCTCATGTCAGGGCGGCTAGGGTAAGTTACCATACATACTTAGCAAATGCCAGGCACCTAACTGGGGTGCTGTGGGCTAATGCATCAGACTGCAAAGTCGGTTGAACTGCAAGATTAGTGGTTCAAACTCACCAGCTGCTCCTCGGAAACCCTATACAGGGTCGCTATGGGTTGGAATCGACTTGACGGCACTTAACAACAACAACAACAAGGCACCTAAGGGCTTCCTATTATTCTGTGAACAGCAATCTTGCAAAAACCTGGCTCTCCATTTTTTAACTTGCTCTCTTGTAGATGGTGCTAGTAAGACAAAATAAATAAAACATAATGAATAAAATGCTGACTTGATTCTCAGGGGAGGCATTGCAGGACACTGTAATTTCTGTTCTTATCTGAGTGATGAGGATAGAATCTTATTCTGTACACAGAGGCATCACAGAGCAGGGCCCCAGGGAGAGGTGGATAGATAGAGCAGGCTTTCTATAGTAAGCAATGCCTGAGATAACTCTTTCCAGAAGAGCAGGGCTTTGCACATGCTGTTCCTTTAGTTTGGAATGCTTATCCCTATGAACACCTCTATAGATGCGTTTGACAACCTGGCATGGAGTAGGGTAAGAGACAGAACATTTAGAATGGAGAACAAGGGTTGCAAGGAAAGGAGGGAGTAAGTGGGAGAGAGATGAAGGCAGAGAGGCTGGCAGGGCCAACTCTTGAAGGATGCACTAAGGACTGAGGATTCATTCTGAGTGTGATGGGGAGGCATGTCAGAATGTAAACAGAGGTACGATATCACTTGCAGAATTAGAGCTCTGGTATCAGCTTGGAGAATGACCCAGAGAAGTATCGGACCAGAGCAATAATGTGCATTGTGAAAGCAAGTACTTTATTAGACTCTAGGCTACTGTATGATGCAGTAGATTGAGAATGTAGTATTGGTGGTGCTTGGGTTCCTGGGAGACTTAAGGGACCAACAAATCTTTCTTCTGATTGTCCTTCAGTGGCTGCCAGTCTTTGACAGTTTTAGAGCATGTTAGGTCT